ATCTCACCTCGTGGGGTATCACTGATGATAAGAAAGGTGAGGAATTAGCCCAGAACTACAAGGGAGGAGCTAGTCAATGACATGAAGAGAGCTGGGACCACAGTTTCAAAGGTCACTGACGGTAGGACACTACGCCGTCATGGTTTCAAATCATGCGTTGCACGGAAGGTTCCCCTGCTCAAGTCATCACATGTCCAGGCCCATCTGAGGTTTGTCAATGACCATCTGGATGATCCAGAGGAGGCATGGGAGAAAGTCATGTGGTCAGATGAGACCAAAGTAGAACTTTTTGATCTAAACTTCACTCGTCGTGTTTGGAGGAAAAAGGATGAGTTGCATCCCAAGAACACCATCCCTACTGTGAAGCATGGGGGTTTTAACATCATGCTTTGGGGGTGCTTTTCTGCAAAGGGGACAGGACGACTGCACTGTATTAAGGAGAGGATGAATGGGGCCATTTATTGTGAGATTTTGAGTAACAACCTCCTTCCCTCAGTCAGAGCATTGAAGATGGGTCATGGCTGGGTCTTCCAACATGACAACGACCCGAAGCACCCAGCCAGGATAACCAAGGAGTGGCTCCGTAAGAAGCATATCAAGGTTCTGGAGTGGCCTAGCCAGTCTCCAGACCTAAATCCAATAGAACATCTTTGGAAGGAGCTGAAACTCTGTGTTGCTCAGCGACAGCCCCGAAACCTGACAGATCTAGAGGAGATCTGTGTGGAGGAGTCGGCCAAAATCCCTGTTGCAGCGCAAACCTGGCCAAGAACTACAGGAAATGTCTGACCTCTGTAATTGAAAACAAAGGCTTCTGTACCAAATATTAACACGGATCTTCTCAGGGGTTCAAATACTTCTGTTCAGCAGTGCGAGACAAATACATTCTTTACAAATCATACAATGTGATCTCCTGAATTTTTTTTTTTTTAAATTCTGTCTCTCAGAGTGGGAATGCACCTACAATGTGAATTTCAGACCCCTCCATGATTTCTAAGTGGGAGAACTTGCAAAATCGCAGGGTGTTCAAATACTTCTGTTCCTCACTGTATAACCCACAGGGCTACATGTCTTTTTCTGGTACACACAATGCTACCTGTCTTTCTCTGTTACCCATGGTGCCACATGCCTCTCTCTATTACACACTGTGCCATGTGAATTATTCTTTGTTACACACAGTGGCACTTATCTTTTTTTGTTACTTATTGTGCCCCTTGTTTTTTTTCTTTTAAACAGTGTACATGCCTCTTTATTACACACTTGCCACAACATGTGTGCTACATTCATTTCTCTCTTATGCACAGTGCCACATGCTATCTCTTTATTACACATTGTGCCACATGCGTCTCTCTTTACATGCACTGTGTGTAACATACATTCATTTCTCTCTTATGCACAGTGCCACATGTCTATCTCTTTATTACACATTGTGCCACATGCATATTTTTTACTGTTACTTTTAGTGCAACACATGCCTTTCTCTGTTAAACACAGTGTAACATCCCTCTCTTTATTACACATAGTGCCAAATTCCTGTCTCTGTTACACATTGTGCCACACGCATCTCACGTTTTTACAGTGCCACATGCCTCTCTTACACTAAGTGCCACATTCCTCTTTTACACATTGTGCCACATGCCTCTTCCTATTACACACAGTGCCACTTGCCTTTCTCTGTTACACACACAGTGCCACATGCCTTTCTCTGTTACACACAGTGCCACATGCGTCTCTAAATTATACATGGTGCCATATGCGTCTCACTTTTACATGTATTGCTGCAAGCCTCCCTATGGTATACACAATGCCTTACACCTCTGCTCCAGCAGTTGATGCCTCTCAAGTGGCTCACAGCTTTCTGTTACACAGCACCCCAGACTTCTGTATGAATTGCACTAATTCGCACCCCTATACTACATGCTGGGTCTCAAGCATACACCAATTTCCTTATGCCTGTTTATTATATGCTGTACCACATGCCTCTATTGCATGGGATGCTTCACATAAACTATTGCCTCGTGCCTCTGTATTACATATATTATATTGGCTCATGCCAGTCCATTACCCTCTGATGCCCCATACTTTGCTATTATGCACTGCTTCATGACACTGTATTACACACGGTATCCCAGTATGTGCAATACTGGAGGTGAGCCTGGAGTTCAGCTGTAAAATGTTTTATTTTTTCTCTCTCTCTTGCAGTAAGCGGTCAGCTGGTAAAACGTATCTATGAGTTTGTGGACACCAAGCAGTCTCAGTATTACCTGAAGAGTATGAACTGTATAAAGTGTTTGCGCACAGAAGCCATTCGGGTATGTAATAGCATCTGCTGAATGTTCCTTTATTGTCACATAATTCAAAGTTTATGTATAGCCAAAACATGGTTTTAGTTTTGTATAAAGTACAGAAGAACTGCAAACCTTGTTAGGTTTCTATTGCCTCTGTTAGGTAGACCTCCCCTCTCTGTTTATCCTGGTGACAGTTGTCACTGAGACAGAAAGTGGTGGGAAATCCACAATATTACAGATGTCACCAGAACAGGGGGTGAAGGTAAATCTTCCAATGAAGACACCTTTTCTGTTGACAAGGAAATTGCCTACTTTTCATAGAGATTGGCGACGCACTCAGATAAAAATATTAGAATAGAACTGAAGGCAAGACATCGTTTTGGATAGAGAGATGGAGGGTTATTACCCCTGTTAGGTTGGTTTTTCCCATTTGTGTCCCATAGGGGAGATTTCCCTTCGCTTCCGGTCCAATAACCAAAACTGGAAATGAGAGGAAATCACTTCAGACTGAAGGATTCCAGGTTCCCACCAGATCTAGTTGTCACGGACCTTTGGCTGTAGGAGAACCATTGCCTGGAAAACTCTGTGTTTTCCTCCAGAAGGAGCTGGTTACTAGTTGACTTTTCAGACTTCCATCGAGCCTGGGCAAAGTATAGAGTGACAACACTCACATTTCCTGGCAGTCCACCCTCCTCACCGATGTGTGGGTACACTGCATGTGAATGGGACTTCCTAGGTGTAGCAAGATGGCGTCGCACGCCGGAAGTGCGTCACCACGCACCGGAAACTGCGGACTCGCGAACCTACACGTTACGTCACTGTCTGCTCGTGACTTCCTCGGGACTCTTTTGGGACTATGTTCTCCTTTTGGTGGGACATGGGCTGAGGTTGTTACTGAGAGGCAGCTTGCTTGAGTACCTCAAATTTTCAGCATTATATCTCACCGGGGTTTGGTAACCACAGCTATGGAACTGTTGCCGGTTACTCTATGAATGGCACCCAGTTACCTTTGACCAGCTCTCACGCTGGCCCCGTCCACGGAACATGTCACTTTTCGATCATGTTGTCTGGGGCTATCAAATGGTATCCCAGGATTGTCTCCACTCACTCGGGATCACCCCAAAAGAGCTATTATGGCTTGCTATGTATTCCGATGTGGGTGCCAGACTGTCTGGGGTGGGCATTGTCTTTACAATGTGATTAGCTGTTATCTGATGGTTTTCTGTATAAATTCAGCCAGACATAGACGGTTCGAAAATCGGCCGATTTTTCGTCCGAAGATCGGCTGATTTTCGCACTGTTAGTGGGTTAATTCGTCAGCCGGTTTTCGTGTTTTTTCCCCTTTTAGATTATCGGTCATGTTGGAAAATTTGTGGAAAACGAACGATTTTTGCGTCAATGATGGTCAAATCGTATGATCGTTTTTGCGAAAAAAATATGCGCATGAGCCGTGACCTGAAAAAGGACAGCATTTCCTGTTATATGTCATGATTTTTATGACTCGGTCGGCCGATTTTCGTAATAATTGGTGGTTACGTCGGTTTAACGAACGTCCAATGTTTTGTTTATCGGACGAAAAAAATGCCCGGTTTTCCAGCTGTCTATGGCCTGCATAAGGGCTCATGTACACGGGGTGTTTGAAAAACTCTTCTGACCGCTGGAAACTGACTGCTAGAAAACGTAGGTTAAAAATGTCAGTTTAGCCGCGTTGTACAATCGTTTTTACGGAAAAAAATATACGCATGAGCCGTGACCTGAAAAATGACATCTTTCCTGTTATATGTCATGATTTTTATGACTTGGTTGGCCGATTTTCGTAATAATTGGTGGTTACGTTGGTTTAACGAATGTCCAATGTTTCGTTTATCGGACGAACAAAAAGCCCGGTTTTCCAGCCGTCTATGGCCTGCATAAGGGCTCATGTGCACGGGGTGTTTGAAAAACTCTTCTGACCGCTGGAAACTGACTGCTAGAAAATGTAGGTTAAAAATATCAGTTTAGCTGCGTTACCTACCGCGTTTATGCGCGTTTAGCCCCCTTTATGCACGTTTAGAAGCGGTTTTAAAAGATAACCTCAGGAGACCTTCCAAATGCCCAGAATGCACTGAAAAACAGTAAATAATTAACTATTTCAGACATTTTGAGAGAAATAGAGCAGAAGCAGAGAGAGCAGTATGTGTTGAGATGACCGGTCCTTTCTGGTTGAATTCACTATGGATCCCATCATGAGCATAATGTGGCGCGTTCTACCATTTTTTTCCTTCACGCAAAACCTGGAACTGACTTCGCTGGTGTACCGGATCCATTTGAATACATGGAAAACACTGTGCATGCATTTTTGATGAATAAAAAAGGCTCTGCACCTCATCTGGCTATGGATCAGCCACAAAACACGTCCAAACGCGCATAAACGCGTTTACAAGCGTTTGAAATGCTGGTAATCTACTCCTGAACGCGATTTTTGTGCTTTCAAGAAAATGCCTGTAACCTCAACTGCCTGGAAACAACTATGTGTACATGGACACATAGGAAGACATAAAGGAGAGTTCAGGGGCTGCTGAAAAAAACGCACAACTACTCCTGAACGTCAGTTTAGCAGCTGCAGTGTACATGAGCCCTTAGTCCTCATGCACACTGCACGTTTTTACAGCTGCTGTTTTTGGCTTTTGGCGTTTTTTTTCTACAGCCGATAATGCAGCACATAGACAACCTGTATAAATACTATTCCCAGGATGGGGTCATACCTTGTATTGTCCCCTGTGAGCTCTCAAACCTCTGCTTTTCCTCCTCATTTCTGTTTGTTTGAAATGAACTATGAACATGAAAGTATTACTAAACCTATATCACTTTATATAACACTATATCTGGTCTCCCCCCGGACCCCGGGTCTCCCGGACCCCGCATTCACTATATCTGGTCTCCCCGGACCCCGCATTCACTATATCTGGTCTCCCGGACCCTGCATTCACTATATCTGGTCTCCCGGACCCCGCATTCACTATATCTGGTCTCCCGGACCCTGCATTCACTATATCTGGTCTCCCCGGACCCTGCATTCACTATATCTGGTCTCCCCGGACCCTGCATTCACTATATCTGGTCTCCCCGGACCCCGCATTCACTATATCTGGTCTCCCCGGACCCCGCATTCACTATATCTGCTCTCCCCCGCATTCACTATATCTGCTCTCCCCCGGACCCCGCATTCACTATATCTGCTCTCCCCTGACCCTGCATTCACTATATCCACTCTCTGCTCTCCCCGGACCCCGCATTCACTATATCTGGTCTCCCCGGACCCCGCATTCACTATATTTGGTCTCCCCGGACCCCGCATTCACTATATTTGGTCTCCCCAGACCCCGCATTCACTATATCTGGTCTCCCCAGACCCCGCATTCACTATATCTGGTCTCCCCGGACCCCGCATTCACTATATCCGCTCTCCCCGGACCCTGCATTCACTATATCCGCTCTCCCCGGACCCTGCATTCACTATATCCGCTCTCCCCGGATCCTGCATTCACTATATCCGCTCTCCCCGGATCCCTGCATTCACTATATCCGCTCTCCCCGGATCCTGCATTCACTATATCCGCTCTCCCCGGACCCTGCATTCACTATATCCGCTCTCCCCGGACCCTGCATTCACTATATCCGCTCTCTCCCGGACCCTGCATTCACTATATCCGCTCTCCCCCCGCACCCTATATCCGCATTCACTATATCCGCTCTCCCCGGACCCTGCATTCACTATATCCGCTCTCCCCCGCATTCACTATATCCGGACCCTGCATTCACTATATCCGCTCTCCCCGGACCCTGCATTCACTATATCCGCTCTCCCCCCGGACCCTGACCCCGCATTCACTATATCCGCTCTCCCCGGACCCTGCATTCACTATATCCGCTCTCCCCCTGCATTCACTATATCCGCTCCCCCGGACCCTGCATTCACTATATCCGCTCTCCCCGGACCTGCATTCACTATATCCGCTCTCCCCGGACCCTGCATTCACTATATCCGCTCTCCCCGGACCCTGCATTCACTATATCCGCTCTCCCCGGACCCTGCATTCACTATATCCGCTCTCCCCGGATCCTGCATTCACTATATCCGCTCTCCCCGGATCCTGCATTCACTATATCCGCTCTCCCCGGACCCTGCATTCACTATATCCTCTCCCCAGACCCCGCATTCACTATATCTGGTCCCCAGACCCCGCATTCACTATATCCGCTCTCCCCAGACCCCGCATTCACAGAACACAGTACACAGAACATGGAAATGCAATTATTTTAGTAAATATAAACTGCTAAATACCTTTTCTCGTCAGCAGTATATAGCAGTCTTGTGACTTCTATCAGTGTCCAGCAGAGCACTGATTAAAGCTTGTAGGAGGAGTTTTCATTCGGCTCTAGGAGGATGCAGGACCCCTCACCTCAGTCTGTACAGTGCTGATTGGCCCTGTACTGATCACATGCCCTCTCCCAAGAAAAAAAAAAAAAAACCTCTCTAGCAATACACACCAAACTGAGCATGTGCAGAGTGACTCCACACGATATGTCTTAGCAGGAGATAAGAGGGGGGCACTGGAAGAAGGGGAAGATCAGAGAAGACAGGATCAAACAGCGTTTTTACACAATGCAGAGGATTAACCCCTTAGGTACCACAGTGAGTATAACAAGCATGCTTTACTGCATATACAGACTGATTGTACTGCTGGGGTTTAGTAACACTTGTTCTGCAGTCATATGCACTGCTCTATGCACACGACTTATCCCAGAGTCCATCTCAGGAGTGAGAGAGGGTGGCTGTGATCTTACATACAATGGGATCGTAGAGATTGAACGTAGCCACCCTCTAACAGGAAGTCAGATCACAGTGGTTTTAAAAAAAAAAAAAAAAATGGAGATTTGGAGAAGACCGAGAGCAATAGATGGGACTTTTCTTAGTTAATGCCGACTGGAATATAATTTTTTTTTTTTAAGATGTTCGTGTCACTTTGTTCATAAAAATACTAATGTGTGCTATATTTGCAATTTTATTGATCTGTTCCATTTTCTACTTTTAGCTTTCACGGGCCCAGGTTTTTAATGATTTCCTCCAGTCACTGAAAGAGAAGACAGCAGGGGGCAGCCTCCAAGAATTCTGGGAAATTGTTGCTCAAGGTAATTAGAAATAGCTTGACAGATACCTGCGCTGAGATGTGCCAGGGCTGTCATAGCTGACCTCCTTCTCAAAATGCTGGGTCCTCTGGCTGTAATGTATATGGAGTGACTGACGCAAGACATTGACACAGATGTTTTTGTCATGATTGTTATACTTTACAGCAGAATTCCAGGAAAAATACCAAAACACAATTTAATGTTAACAATATGTAACTAGTTTTAAAGGGCAGCACAGTGGTTAGCACTTCCGCCTGGCAGTACTCGGGTCGTTGGATCGAATCCCAACCACGGCACCACCTGCATGGAGTTTGCATGTTCTCCCTGTGCCTGTGTGGGTTTCCTCCTGAACTCCAAACACATGCTGGTAGGTTAATTGGCTCCTGTCTAAATTGTCCCTAGTATGTGTATGTATGAATGTGAGTTAGGGACCTTAGATTGTACACCCCTTGAGGGTCAGGGACTGATGTGAATATACAATATATATTAGTGGTGCACCGAAATGAAAATTCTGGTGCCGAAAACCGAAAATGCGCTTGGCCGAAAACCGAAATGAGCAGAATATACATTTTTTGGTAAAAAATCACTTTGATTAAAAAAAAACAATATATACCCCAACTTTTTTGTAAAATATGAAAGAGGATGTTATGGTTAGTAAATAGATACCCAACATGTCACGCTTTACAATTGCTCATGCTCGTGGAATGGCGTGAAACAGCGGTACTTAAAAATCTCCATGGGTGACACTTTAAAAATTTATACAGGTTAGCTGTGTAAAGTTACAGAGGAGGTCTAGTGCGAGAATTATTGCTCTCGCTCTGACGTTCATGATGATACCTCACGTGTGTGGTTTGAACACCATTTACATATGTGGGCATGGCCTATGTATGCGTTCACCACTACGTGCGAGCACATGGGACGGGGGGCACTTTAAACTTTAATTTAAATTTATTTAATGTTTTTTTTTTTTTTGTTTTGTTTTTTTTGCACTGTCCCTTTTAAAAAAAATTTTAATCACTTTTATTCTTATCACAAGGAATGCATGGATCCCTTATGATAGAAATAATTTGTGACAGGTCCTCTTTATGGAGAGATATGGGGTCAATGAGAAATAGTGACAGGTCCTCTTTATGGACAGATATGGGGTCAATGAGACATAGTTAGTGACAGGTCCTCTTTATGGAGAGATATGGGGTCAAAAAGACATAATTAGTGACAGGTCCTCTTTATGGAGAGATATGGGGTCAATAAGGCATAGTTAGTGACAGGTCCTCTTTATGGAGAGATATGGGGTCAATGAGACATAGATAGTGACAGGTCCTCTTTATGGAGAGATATGGGTCAATAAGACATAAATAGTGACAGGTCCTCTTTATGAGAGATATGCGGTCAATGAGACATAGTGACAGGTCCTCTTTATGGAGAGATATGGGTCAATGAGACATAGTGACAGGTCCTCTTTATGGAGAGATATGGGGTCAATGAGACATAATTTGTGACAGGTCCTCTTTATGGAGAGATATGGGGTCAATGAGACATAGTGACAGGTCCTCTTTATGGAGAGATACGGGGTCAATGAGACATAGTTAGTGACAGGTCCTCTTTATGGAGAGATATGGGGTCAAAAGACATAATTAGTGACAGGTCCTCTTTATGGAGAGATATGGGGTCAATAAGGCATAGTTAGTGACAGGTCCTCTTTATGGAGAGATATGGGGTCAATGAGACATAGATAGTGACAGGTCCTCTTTATGGAGAAATATACGGGGTCAGTGAGACATAATTAGTGACAGGTCCTCTTTATGGAGAGATATGAGGTCAATAAGACATAAATTAGTGACAGGTCCTCTTTATGAGAGATATGCGGTCAATGAGACATAGTGACAGGTCCTCTTTATGGAGAGATATGGGGTCAATGAGACATAGTGACAGGTCCTCTTTATGGAGAGATACGGGGTCAATGAGACATCGTTAGTGACAGGTCCTCTTTATGGAGAGATACGGGGTCAATGAGACATAGTTAGTGACAGGTCCTCTTTATGGAGAGATACGGGGTCAATGAGACATAGTTAGCGACAGGTCCTCTTTATGGAGAGATACGGGGTCAGTGAGACATAGTTAGCGACAGGTCCTCTTTATGGAGAGATACGGGGTCAGTGAGACATAGTTAGTGACAGGTCCTCTTTATGGAGAGATACGGGGTCAATGAGACATAGTTAGTGACAGGTCCTCTTTATGGAGAGATATGGGGTCAATGAGACATAGTTAGTGACAGGTCCTCTTTATGGGGAGATATGGGGGGTCAATGAAACATAGTTAGTGACAGGTCCTCTTTATGGGGAGATACGGGGTCAATGAAACATAGTGACAGGTCCTCTTTATGGAGAGATATGGGGTCAATAAGACCCCACATCTCTCCTCTGCAATGTAAAGCATTGGATCAAAAAAAAAAAGCATTGATCTAGTGCTTTTAAAAAAAAAAAAAAATGGCTGGAACGGGAAGCGACATTGCCCCAATCCTCCAAGGGCATAGAGATGAGTGGAGGCCATCTTTCCTTCACTCATCTCTATGCCCAGCGCCGGGATCATTCGATGGTTTCTCAGGTGAGGCTGAGAACTACAGAGCGGTGGCGAAGGGCGGGGTTTTTTTCAGCACCTGTATCGCCCCTTTTTATTCATCTCGGCCACTGAAATTTGGGTGCATCCCTAATATATGTATGTAAAGTGCTGCGTAAATGGACGGCGCTATAGAAGTACCTGAAATAAATATATCGCCAGTGCAGCTTCTCCACTGCATTTACAGACTGATTGTACTGTTGTGGGTTTAGTAACGCTTTAATACACAGTGGCTAAATGGTTAGCACTTCCACCTGGCAGTACTCGGGTCGTTGGTTCGAATCTCAGCCACGGCACCACCTGCCTGGAGTTTGCATGTTCTCCCTGTGCCTGTGTGGGTTTCCTCCGGTTTCCTCTCACACTCCAAAGACATGCTGGTAGGTTAATTGGCTCC